TACAAAAAAAAGGAAGCCAAAGTTGAGGAGTTCATCAACTTTCGTCAAGGAGGTATGATTGTCCAAGAATACTCCTTGAAGTTCACTAAGTTGTCTATGTATCCCTGTCTTTTGTGTCTAATCTTGGGGATGAGATGAGTCGCTTTGTGATGGATGTGTCCGATTCAATTCAAGAAAATGTCGAGCGGTAATGCTTCATGATAATATAGACATCTCATGTCTAATGGTGTATGCTAAAAGGTTAAGGATCTAGGCTTAGAAAGAAGAAAAGGGATGTCAATAGGTCGAGGTCCAACGATGGGTAAACTTGAGATTCAAGATAGCCCAAGGATGAATAAGAGGTTTTTCAACCAAGGCTCCTCCAATGATCCCAGGGTAAACAAAGGTAGGGTGGCTAACCCTAAGCCACAGGCAGGAAAATGTGGTGGTTCTTATATTGAAAGATCTAGTTGTGAAAAGTTTGGCAAGAAGCATGAAGGCAAGTGCCTAGTTAGCAGGGATAGTTGCTTTAGTTGTATGATGAGTGGTCATATGAAGAGAGATTTTCCCATGTTAAGAGCTCCAGGGAAGGAGAAAAAAACAAGCACAAGAAACTGGTTCTAATTTCGTTGTTCCCAAGAAGAATTACTTATATGATCTCCGACCCCGAGGTGATCAAGAGAGCTCTCCGAATGTTGTTACCACTATGTTGCAAGTATTTTTAACTGATGTATATGCATTGTTAGACCCCGGTGTAAATTTGTCTTTTTTTACTCCTTTAGTGCTATGAAATTAGATATACTCCCCGATATCTTAGAAGAACCATTTTTGGTGTCCAGCCCGGTTGGTGACTTAGTTGTAGCAACAAGAGTCTATAGGAGTTTTCCTATTTCATTATCTCATAGAGTGACTTTGATTGATTAGGTATAATTAAACATGCTTGATTTAAATGTAATTTGTTGCATGGATTGTTTGCATGCATGTTATGGTTAAGTGATTGTAGAACTCGGGTAGTTAAATTTCTATTTTCAAATGAGTCCGTTGTAGAGTGGAAAGGGGGAAATTCTATTCGTAGAGGTCAACTTATGTCATACCTAAAAGTAATTCATCACCCACAATGTCATAATTGTGCCTCTACCACCATAAAATTTTTCAAGTTTGGCAATAACTCGGAAATAGGAATTGGTCTCGTTAAAGAGCCACGTGAACATTCATTCTATATTTTACGACAATGATTTAATTAAGAAAATATGTACGAATAATACATTTTTCTTTTGTATGAACCTAAAATTCAAAATAAAAGAATAAAAATAATAATTTCTCCTATCCCAACCCCCATCCCACCATGACAATAAAAAAAATTAAGAGAATATAATCATGTGAGTTCATTTCAAGTTTGAGTCTCAAATATCCTAGTTAAGAATATAATATTAGAAAAATGAACAAAGAGAGAAAATTAACAAGACATTTGGATAATTGATAGAAAATTTAATATTAATAAAAATATATTTTTTTAGAGGGACAATCAATCGGGGTGAGTAAGGATTGTAGTTGGATCCGCATTTATTAGTTGAGTCATAATAAATTGGGGGTTGATTAAAATTTACCAATAGGAAGATATCATGAAATTAATTTTTTTTCATTTTTATTTTCAAGTGTATCAGGTCAAAATATGAACCATACAAGGTTTAATAAAAACAAGTTATTTAAAATTTCATTTTTATTATTTAGTTGAGAAGAGTTTAAATTTGGACCAATCATATTAGGCAACATAATTTAAACAAATATTTAATAATTTTAATTTACTTTTTTTTTAATTTACTTGAGTTATTAAAAATAAGGGAAAAAATAAACCAAAAGCTTAACACTTGGGGTATTTTTGAGCTAAAAAGTGCATGTGGAGGGTATATTACAGCTGAAAGGTGGATGGAGGACAGTTTTGCACCAATTTAAATCGTTGAGGGGCATTTCAGGTCCTTTTCCGTTTAATAAGACGCTTTGCTTTATGCAGATGACATGTTTGTCGTTGGTCATAGTACTTGGACGATTAAAAAGTTGGAGCAAGAGTTGAATAAGTGTTTTGCTATAAAAGACTTGGGACCAGCAAGCCAGATTTGCATATTGTCTGTGATAGAGATGCTACGAAGTGGTAGTTGTCACAACAGAAGTACATTTAGAAAGTACTTTGCAGATTTAACATAGACAAAACTAATTAAGATTATTTATACACCTTTAGCTATGCACTCCAAATTGAGTACTATGCATTGTCCTTCCAGTGATGTGGTGAAGGAAGATATGAATATAGTTCCTTATGATATATGATTTTACTTTCTTTTTGCTCCCGCTTTTAATAATATATGATATTATGCTTATTTGACTTATATGACATTCTAAAGCTTGTATTGATGATGTGAAAATAAGGTATGCTTTAATTTACTGAAAATGGCTTAAAATACCTCAAAGTATTGAAAATGATACAAAACTACCCTTCATCCACCTATTTAGCTCCAAAATACCCTTCTTATCCACCTTTTTGCTCCAAAACACACTTCTCATCCACCTTTGGGTTCAAAATTGACCACTTATTTAACAATTTTAAATTTAAATTACTTATATATTTTTTTAAAATACTTTGCGCTCAACTATTGGTTATAATTTAATTTATTAATATAATTTATAAACCAACCCACAATGCACCCAATCAATAAACCCGCCAAGAAACCACCTTATTAAACAAATACCTGAGCTCTTCCTTTCTAAGACTGTGTTCTTCTCAGTCAATTTCTTGTTTAAAAAAGTCCTCCATTGATCTTCAAGATTTAGAAATATTAATATTAATAAGTGCCGCTATTTAGTAAACTAGAAAAATTAATATTAATCGGAGTTTCAAGTGATGTGGAAGTCCAATTAAAATTGCATTGTCTTTGGAAAGTCCGATTGGAATTGTACTAATACAACATTAATGTTACTACTTTTCTTTAGTAGGAGAAATTGAATAAGAAGAGCACAAATAATTGTTTCATTTAATAGGTGGATATGGAATAGGTTTATTAAATGTGTGAAGTTTAAGTAGTAACGGGTGAGTAATGAGTAGGTTTATAAATTATCAACAATTTAAATTATAACAAATAGTTGAGCGCCACACATTCAAAAAAAATATTTCTAAAAATTTAATCTTGAATTCGTTAAATAAGTTGTCAATTTCGAACCCAAAAGTAGATGAAAATGATATTTTGGAGCTAATAGGTGGATGAAAAAGGTATTTTTGAGTCAATTGATGGATGAATGCTATTTTTGTACCATTTCTAATACTTTAAAGATATTTTTAGGCCCTTTTCCGTTTAATTTATTTGGCAGTATAACCTATAGCTGAGACTTTTATGCACAAAACGCCTCTTAAATGTTGTGTCATAGTTGTGAGTAGGTGAAACCATTATGTTTAGTTCTTCTCCACGGGCAATCCAGGAATTTTCCAAATTTTTTCAATTGAGATCTTTATATAGAAGGATCTTTTTATTTCTTCACCGCTGGTTATCACATCATTTTCTTGAAAATATATTATATCACACCATGGTAAAGTTTAGAATGAGTAATCTTAACCATTTCGTTATTCACACAAACCTATCGATGACTTATCAACTTCCTTTCTTGACAAATAATTTGACAAAAATGGAGACGAATCGGGATAATATTCGAACTTGTTTCTAAATTGAATAGAATAGGGATTATATGAAGTTTGTTCTCTTCCTTTGTGCATCTTTGTGATGAGTAAATCTCCAATATTATATATATATATATATATAGAGAGAGAGAGAGAGAGAGAGACACGCATAATTACATCACAGGTTACCACTACTACTAATAGTTATTACCAGTGTTTTAAAAAGCGAGACGTTTTACTTAACTTGGTGAGGTGTAAGTCTTGAGACGTGGAACGTAAGCGCTATGGATCTTTAGATTTTTAATTTACAATATGTAGTATAATAATATAATAACACAAAATAATAAAATTACATCAATAGTTTAAAATAATTATGATCAAGGAAACACATAGAAAATAAAACTTCTTACATTATTATACAAGTATAAATAATTGAATATTTTAACTTCTAATAATATAATAAAAGAATCATTATTTCTAAAAATATAATATTATTATTATTATTATTATTATTATTATTATTATTATACTATAAAATTTACCCCCTTAAAAGATAATCAATAAAATTTATTAGTATTATAATAAAAACATCACTCCACCATGAATAAAAGTAAAATTACTTTCAAATTGTTAAATATAATATGATAACTTTGAGGCATATGACAAAAACATGAAGACCAATAATAAGTGAAAACATAAATTTTGCTTTGTATTTTAAAAATAAATGTACTCAATTTCTCACTATTACCACATACTCCCTCTGTTTAAAAAAAATATCCTAGTTTTCTTTTTGTATGTTTCAAAAAGAATTTTGGTAACAATTTGATTTTAACATTCCACATGACATGTTTAATACCACAAGATTAAAAGACATTTTAGTACATTTGACATAACAATTTACTTAGAACCACAAGATTATAAAAACTTTTTTCTTTTCTTAAAATTCGTTCCAAGTCCATCATTCTTTTTTAAATGGAGGGATTAGTAAATATGCAATACTACACTCGTTATATGAGTTACTCTCAATCTTCTTAATTCAATAAATTATAAACTAATGAGTATCATTCTTTTATTCAAGAATCATGTTGATCAATTAAGTTAACTAGAGAATTTAACAAATAATTTGTGTAAGATATGTTAGGAAAACTCGGAGCGCTAGGTGTTGAGAGTGATTACAACATAAAACTAGATACTTAGGATATAAGTGTTACAGAATTAAATCTCATACTTGAGCCTCAAGATGTTTTGTCAGAGATAAGTCCCAACTAAATTTTTTAAAACACTGGTTAATAATAGTGGCTCTGGTCATTATGGTCGAAATGATGTTAAGGCTTTTTTCCTTTCCAGATGACTAGTAACGTTGCTATAGGGAACAAATTAGAAAAAAGACTTGCTACAGTGGATCTTCTACCCCTCATTTGTTTTTCTCATTGCCAACCCTAGTATTGTACTTATTCATCCATTGGACAAGTGGGAATTTGGAATAGTATAAGAGTTGGGTGTTCCGCAGAATTGAAATTGAAATTGAAATGTGGATATATCTAGTCCTGCTCTGATTCATCCATTCAAAAATCAATGTTGATAATGAATAAAAAGTCAAAGTATAATTGGATCTGATTGTAGGAATGGAGCAATAGTTGTATCTGCTGTTGAATTGTCACAATATTTGAGCAGCCACAAGTACAAAGATGGAGAAAACCTTAATACCAAACTAGCGATGTTTTCAAGAGGATATTATTCTAGGCTCCATGTGTTTTGTTTCGGCTTAAGTGAATAGCTCACTAAGTACTTTCATTTTTCATTAATACTCATTACTACTATTCTCACTCAATGCATATGCAGCCGGATACCTGGCTCTCATAACTACTCCTATTCTTGGAGTTATTTGTTACTGCCATGGTTCCACATAGGTCTATTTCTAGGTTTTGTCAGGTATGTACTTGAACTAGTCCACACATTTATTTACTTTTCATTACAACTCTTTCAAATCTTTCTTTTCTATTTTGTGCAGCATTCTGGTTTATCTCATGTTAATCCAGCCAATGGTGTTCTAATGGACACTGGTGTCACAATAGCTCATTGGCCGAAGCTCTTCTTCCAAAAACTAGGGGTAAGGAATATGTGAGATATCTAACATCTATTCTTCTTTGCCTCAAAATCTCTCCTCATGTTTATTTTTGTACCTACATTATTTCAAATCTCTTTGTATTAATGTAATCAATTTTGCTTATATATGTGGATGAGGTCCAATTCAATGCTTCTTGCTATGTTCTTGGAATCATAACTATTTTGGAACTACTACGTAATGGGAAACATAGTTTGCGCAGCTACTCTTTTTGGGATCATATGTTGAGTTTCTTTCGACAAAAGCTTTTCTAAGGATATTTAGGATTTACGCTTAATTGATTGAAGGAGAATCTGGAAGACTAAACTGGATAATTAGCAAAGACAAAAAAGGATTCACTTCTTCCTTAAATTAGTTGGATTTAGAGAGAAAATTTGCTGCAAAATTTTGAAGGAGAAAGTAACAGTTTGGATCCACTAAATTTGGCACTCTAAATTGTTTTCACATCATCTATGGGAAGGTAGAAGCGGAATCTGCAATTTTGCTAGAATTACTATATATGTTGACTTTGGTATAGTCAACTTAGAAAACTTTCCACATAGTTTTATGATGGATTCAATGCTGTCCATATAATCTATAAGTTAGTAGCTATTATATCTCTGAACTAAAAGAATATTTTCTTATGAACTATTGGCTTTCTGATCCTGATAAAATATTCTTCCTGCAATGCTTTAATTGATGGAGCACCTACTTTTGAAAGCTTAGGTAGTATTATAGGTTTAGCATACATGTGCGCAGAGATGCAGGCTAGACCGCTGTTTCTAGGGTTGTACGCACTAAGGAGTCGTTTGGTAGAGTGTATTAATATAATGCAAAAATAGAGTGTGTATTAGTAATGCTTGCATTAGAAATGTATGTATTAGTTATACTTGCATTAATTATACATAGATTATTTTAATGCATCGTTTGAATTGGTGCATTAAAAATAGAATGAATTGCATTAATAATATTTTTACAAAGATGCTTTTCACTATTATGGTGGAAAATATATAAAAAAGATATTGAGGGACAATTGATTCTTCAATTAAGTTAATGCATGCATTAAAAATATTGCATTGTAAATACCTAAAATTTTATGGTATTAGCAAAACACACCTTAATACACCTTGTTCTCTATTAACTATGTTTGTTGGTTTAAAATACTTATTACTGACATCCATTTGAAGCACAAGAACCACTAATGGTAATCTTTTTAGTTATTTAGATTAAGACTACTGAAGATCATGGTGGATGGGACTGGCCATTTCCAGTGAGTACTAGTTCGGCAGAGTTTTATCCTTCCCTTTCTTAATGTATCTCCAAATGTTGAGCTGTCCGGCACATTTGGAGCTTCAAATGGATCTAGACAGTCATGGAGCAATATGTCTATTTCAAAGAACCCTCAGCCTCCGCCATTGTCAAACTTAAATGGGATACAAGACCTGGGAAATGGATCTTCATTTGTTTCAGATTATATTGGTTCAAATTCTAAGGACACAAGATCTCAAAATTTCAAAATCGCTTGGTATCAGCAGTTCACTGTTGCAAATGGATGGAAGTAGTGTCTTCTCGAGTGTTGAGTTGAGACTTGGGCATCCATCCCAGCAAAGCAAAAAGTTGGGAAGTTTAGCTACACAAACTTTTGAGTATCATTACATTGTCAAACCAATAAAATATCAACAACCATTGTTTCCAGAGCCCCTTATGCATAAAGGTCTGGTATAATTTGTGAATTGATCCCTTTTGTTCTTGATATCTCTTCAAGCTTACACCTGTTAGTGTCACACAACTGTTGAATCACAGGCAGTGGAAGAAAGCAAGTCAAATTTTCATATGTTGAATTTGAGTTCAAGAAGTGGAATGTGCCAGCCAGACCTTGTCAAGTCTGCCTATGAACTCCACACTGCAACAAGTCAATCCAGAACTAGAAATTCTATATTTCCTGTGGTACAAGCATAGGTCAAGGTTTCTTCAGAAGGACTACTGTACTCTTAAGATATCAAAAATATGGTTTATGGAAGTCATACTCCATCCGGAGAACCTCAGTGTAAATCCCTTACTCTAAAGTGCAACCAAATTGATTTTCATTGTGCTAGCGGTATGATGACTAATAAGGAATTTAATGTTGACGCTTCATGTGCTCTTGTACGTTAGAACAATGATAAAGTTGTGGCCAACAATATTGTTAATTTACACAGTGCTGCTGAGTTGAACTTTGGACTCTACTCCAAGAATTACAAAAATAGAAGGACTGTTAAGAGAATTGTGGAAGGGATTAGTCATACCAATCACTTGGCCTTACATGAGAACTGTTAGGATCGAATTCACGTTCACACACTAGATGAATGAAGAACACAAGAACTTTCAAGAGAAAGAGATGAGAGATCTAGAGAGAGAAAGAGAAAACCCAATATTTCGTGGTAACACTCCGTGAGTAAACTTCCACGGCGATGAGATATACTTATTAATAAATCAGAGTATTTTTGGTTACAGAGAATAAATAGGAAAGCCTAAAATTTAGTTCGGCGCGCTGCCCCAAACCCCGCTTTCGGATGGGGGGCTTCCGCCCCCTATAAACCACTGGCAACCTCACCGCCGAGGTTAAACCGCATAAACAGTTATATATATTAATCAGGATCCACTACCTAACAATTCTCCCACTTGGAGACTTACTCAGTCATCCAAAAATACATTCTCAAAAAAAATCTCTTCATCATCAATATCTTTACCGCACCGCAACATCTGTCGAAACAACTACAGAAGACCAATTGAGGTTTTACATAACCTCATTTTTCCAACATCAACACATTTCGTCAACATGTCTGCCGGGTTCTTTGCACCCTCTATCTTCTCCAAGAACATATCACCATCCTTCACTGCCCTGCGAGTGAAATGGTATCGCCTTCTGATGTGCTTTGTCTTCAAATGATAGACTGGATTTTTTACCAATTGTATGGCACTCGGTCTACTTGAGTAAAGAATCTTCTCGTTCTGCTTCTTGACGAATTCCTCTAGACAATCTGCCAGCCATATCATCTCTTTCCCAGCTTCAGCTATTGCCACATACTCAGCTTCAGTAAATGAAAGAAAAACACACTTCTGAAGCCTAGACATCCAACTCACTGCTGTTCCACTTATGGTGTAAATGTACCTGGATGTACTCTTGCTCGAGCCAACATCCCCACCAAGATCAGCATCCACAAAACCCTGTAGAGTCACATTGCCTTTCCCAAAACAAAGTGAAGTACTGGATGTACCTCTCAGATATCTAAGAATCCACTTCACATCTTCCCAATGCTCTTTCCCAGGGTTCGCCATGTACCTGCTAACAACTCCCACTACATGTGCTATATCAGGTCTATTGCAGACCATAGCATACATCAAACTACCAACTGCTGAAGCATATGGGACAAGTGCCATGTGATCACGCTCCTCGGCAATCTTGGGTGACTGCTCCTTTGGCAATTTAAAGTGATTTGCCAATGCAGTAGTCCTTGGTTTAGCATCATTAACCCTGAATCTGCTCAACACCATCTCAATGTACAACTCCTGAGATAGATTTAAAGTGCCAGTAGATCTATCCCGAGAAATCTTCATCCCCAAAATCTGCTTCGCTGGACCCAAATCTTTCATCTCAAATGCTGCAGACAACCTTGTCTTCAGATTGTTAATCTCCCTCATACTAGATCATGCAATCAACATATCATCCACATATAAAAGTAGAAAGACATATGAATCAGTGTATTTCTTGAAGTAACAACAAGGATCCTTTTCAGCTTTGCAGAATCCACTCTTGATCACGAAGGATTCAAATTGCTTGTACCACTGCCTTGGTGCTTGCTTTAGTCCATACAAGCTATGGTGAGTTTGCACACCATGTGTTCCTTGCCTAGAGCCACAAATCCTTCCGGTTGCTTCATATAGATCTCTTTGTCCAGATCTCCATGTAAAAATGTTGTTTTTACATCCATTTGCTCTATATGCAAATTCTCTGATGTAACAATACTCAACAGAATTCGAATAGAGGTTAATTTCACAACAGGAAAAAAAATTTCACCATAATCAATACCTTTCCTTTGTGAATTGTTCAGCAAAGCTCTTTTCCTGCAGGTAACTCGGTCAACACCCATGTGTCGTTCTTCTCAAGTGACCTCATCTCATCATCCATGGCTTGCTCCCACTTGATCGAATCCTCCACCTGTACGGCCTCATCAAAAGACTCTGGTTCCCCTCATCAGTCAAGAATAGATAGTTAATGAAGGTGAATACCTATCTGGTGCCCTCATGGTTCTGGATGATCTCCTTAACACCTGCTCAGGTGTAACTTGCTCCACTTCAGATTCTTAATAGGATTTGGTTAAGTATCTGATTCAACATCTCTGGGGTTACTCTTCACCAACTCAACCTCAACTCCCACTTGCTTTGTAATCTCTAGAACCTTCAGCGCTCTGTTTTTGTATAGGACAGACTCATCAAATGTCACATCACAATGTCTTAGGATCTTTCTGTTATTTTCATCCCAAAACCTGTAACCAAACAAATCAGAACCATAGCCTATGAAGTAGCACTTCACAGACTTGGCATCAAGTTTGTCTCTCTTTTCTAGATCAACATGAACATAAGCAGTGCAACCAAAAGTCCTCAAGTGTGAGTACTTGAGTTCTTTTCCCGTCCACACCTCCTCTAGAATCTTGAACCCTAAAGGAATTGATGGTCCCCTGTTGATCAAGTATGAATTTATGCTCACAGCATCCGCCCAAGGTGTTTTGGGCAGCCCACAGTGTATCCTCATACTCTTTGCACGCTCATTCAATATTATGTTCATCCTCTTAGCAATTCCATTCTGCCTTGCCTGACCAGGAACTGTTCTCATCAATCTGATTCTCTCAGCTGCACAGAATGCCTTGAACTCTGATTTGCCATACTCTCCTCCATTGTCAGACCTTAGGCATTTGACTTTCAAACCGATCTGATTCTCAACTTCAGCTTTCCACTTCTTGAAGGTTGAAAACACATCTGACTTATGCTTCAAGAAGTAAACCCATACCTTCCTGCTGAAATCATCAATGAAGGTAACATAGAATCTGGATCCTCCAAGTGATGATACTGGAGATGGTCCCCAAACATCTGTATGGACCATTTCCAACCTCACTTTCTTTGTCTCTCTAGGATTCTTTGTGAAGCTTACTCTTTTCTGTTTGCCCATAACACAGCTCTCGCAAAGACCCATATCAACAGACTTCAGAGCCTCTAATGCTCCTTTTGCAACCAGCATCTTCATTAATTTAGTACTCATGTGTCCAAGTCTGTTGTGCCACAGACATGAAACGGAAGTACCATCAGCAACAACGACCATGTTTATACACCCTGCAGTGGTGTACAAGGTTCCAGATTTGGTGCCACGAGCTACTACCATAGCACCTTTCACGATCTTCCACGAACCTTTCCCAAACTCTACTGCATATCTCGTGCTATCCAACTGACCAACAGAGATCAGATTTTTCTTGATCCCAGGAATATGTCTGACATCCTTCAATGTCCACTAGTTTCCCGAGGTGGTCTTTATGCAAACATCCCCCTTTCCTTCAATCTCTAAGGCTTTATTGTCAGCAAGATATACTTTTCCAAAATTTCCAGATTTAAAATTTTTGAAGAACTCCTTGCTTGGAGACGAATGGAAAGATGCACCAGAATCCAAAATCCATGATTTAACTGGGTTGTTCACACTAAGGATTAGAGCATCCCTAATGTCCTCTATTGAATTTACAGAATCATTGTCATCTCCAAATTTTTGATTCTGTTTCTTCTTTAGATTTGTACAATTCGTCTGAAAGTGCCCTTTTTCTCCACAGTTCCAACAAGTCACGTTTGATCTGTTCTGGGATTTTCCTCGATTCTTTGATTTTGATCGACCATGTTGATTTGTGTCTTTCGTCTTACTTCTCCCCCTTCGATCAACGCTAAGAGCACTGCCCGATGAATCTCCCACTTCTCATTTACGAATACTTTCGCTAAGAAAAACATCACAGATTTCATCAAACTTCAATTTCTCAGATCCACGCAAACTGCTAATCGCAGAAACAACAGTATCCCAAGACTCGGGCAGAGATGACATCAAAATCAATGCCTTAATTTCATCTTTGAAATTAATATCCACAGAATTGAGTTGACTCACAATCATATTGAACTCGTTTATATGATCAGAAACGGATCCATTCTCAGACATCTGTAAATTGAACAATCTAAGAATCAAATATACCTTGTTCATAGCCGATGGTTTTTCATACATATTTGACAGTCCCTTCAACAGACCGGACGTAGTCTTCTCCTTCACGATGTTGAACGCCACGTTTCTTGACAAAGTCAACCGGAATAACCCTAGAGCCTGGCGATCCTTGAGTTTCCACTTCTCCTCCGTCATGGATTCCGGCTTCACCCCGGTCAACGGTTCGGGAAGTTCTTTCTGGTACACATAATCTTCGATCTGCATCTTCCAGAAACTGAAATCGGATATATCAAACTTCTCGATTCCAAGCTTCGAACTATCCATCTTCAGTGATCGTGTTGAATCTCCTCAGCTCTGATACCAATTGTTAGGATCAAATTCACGCACACACACTACATGAATGAAGAACACAAGAACTTTTAAAAGAAAGAGATGAGAGATCTAGAGAGAGAAAGAGAAAACCCAATATTTCGTGGTAACACCCCGTGAGTAAAATTCCACGACGGTGAGGTATAATTATTAATAAATCAGAGTATTTTTGGTTACAGAGAATAAATAGAGAATAAATAGGAAAGCCTAAAGTTTAGGTCGGCGCGATTCCCCGAACCCCGCCTTTGGATGGGGGGCTCCCGCGCCCCATAACCCCCTGGCAACCTCACCGCGGAGGTTAAACCACGTAAATAGTTATATATATATATATATATTAATCAACCTCCACTAGCTAACAAGAACAACCTACATTCATGCAAGCCCTGTGGTATAATGATGGATATGCCTGATGCTCAGAACACCCTTAATTTGTATGGAAAGACATCTTTATTTTCTCATGATGGACCCTTTGATAATGATAATATCAGGTCTTTCTGTAACTAATGTCTAAAGCAGCTCCACCATCGCAGGAAGTCCCATTGGGGTTTCCATCCTCAAGTTCAACTCTAATTAATCAAACTCTACAACTATCTAAAAAAGAGTGTCTCAATGGAAGGCAGGTTAAACTCAGTGAGAATCCAAGACCGCAAACCTTGCATCATAGGTTGAAGGTTTCTTCTCCTGCACCTGTCAGTTCCTCCACAACATCCTCCAAAGGGCATATATGAAAGAATCCTTTTTACAAAGCACCAACATCTATAAACCAGTTATATGTACCCAATGTTGTGAATATGATACATGCGTCTACGACTGCAGCAGTATCTGCCTTCTCTGGTGTTAGTGATTATGTGGGAAAGCATATGCAAACTATAGCTCCTATTACTGGTAAAGGACTATTTTTTTCTTTTCAGTTTTCCTTCTATCTTATTTGATTTGTAATTTTAATGAATAGGAAGTTTATGTCCATACAGATCAGCTTGAAGGTTTTATTTTTTCAGCTTTATCACATGGAGCATCTCTGCGTGCTCAAGACTCAGGAGTGGACTGTTATTTTTCCTCTGATTTTCTTGCAGTTCACTGGCCTTATCTAAGGTAACTCTAGTGCAGTAATTTCTGTAACTTTACTTGTCCATTTGCAATCAAGTATGTCTGTAAGTGTCGATGTTTGGTTATAACTCTGCCCTTGGCCTGAGTCACCCTAGAAGATAATTAATTTGTTGTATGCAGAGATTCCGTATGTATTACTCCCTCTCTCCCAGATAGCTGTCATAGTTGAGAAATCCTCTAATGTTCCCTGGCTTTACCCAATTTATTTCCGTCAAGCTGATGAACATCCTCCAAGGCTGTTATGTCCATTTGCAGTGCAATTTATAGGATCAGTCGAGAGCGATAGAGAATAAAAGGCTAGAAATTGACTCAGATTTATTTCAAGGTCGTATATGAATGTGTAGTATAACTTCCATTCAAATCAATTGAATCAATGGAAGCAATGTTGCTTCCACAAGCCTATTCATTGATAACGGAAACTCTTCAAATAAATCTCCTCGGTACTTGGACTTAGTTCATTAAAACCATCAACTCCATTCGATTAGCCGGGCATAAGTTATTATGGTCTTTATGGAAGGATCGATTCACAAGGCAATGTATAAATTCAGCTCGTTAAAAAGGGAGGTCGAAACCTTAGAGTTTAATGGAAGAGTGAACTTTGATTTCTTGCTTTTTGCTAAAGTATGACCTAATGATTTATTTATCAGAACCCCTTTTAAATATGAACCTTATTACATCAATACGAAATCTAATTCTTGTGAAATTAGGAAATCTAAATCCTATTCCAAGCAATAACTATAGCTCAACGCCTTGACCTAATCCTTATGAAATTATTAACATAAATCTTTTTTTGGGAATTGGTAACAAACTCTTAAACATAAATCTTATTCTAGAATAATAAAGAAAGCTATTAAAATATGATTAAATAATAAATAAATCTACTTTAAAATATAATTAAATACTTCATTAAATTGACTTTCCCGCATTCACAATATTACTCCCTTCACGTAGAAGAGCTTGTCCTCAAGCTCAAATTTCAAGGAAATCATCAAGAAAATCAGGAATAGTATTAACTTAATTATCCAATTTCAGCCTTAGTTTGAAGTTGACATTTATAAATTTCAACTCTATCAGTTCCCTTAGAGTTTAAATTATTATAGAGATGATACTAGGTGATTTGCACTTTAGAACTATGTATGTAATTAAGGCATTCTTCCTTTTTAAGATTTCTTCCCATCAACCTAAACCTTGGTGGGAAGAGATACTAGAGGGTGCGAGGTGTCCTCAAGCTGGTTTGGGCATCATTGTGGGACAAAAAGAAGATATTGAAAAAGTTACTTCCCAAAATGACTTAGTTTGTTGATAATAAATTTCTAAAGTTGTATGGGACAAGGGAAATTGACTAATACTTATGTTTCAAAAAATAAATTCTTGGATTGTGGCCAACTTTGGAAAGCATACCTCAAAACAGATCTTAAAATTAATTAATATTGAGGACAACAATGTATATATGTAATCTTCTTTTCTTATTTCTATAAGAGATGATAATCCAATGTGTGTAGATTGGTGAACTTTGAAACATTATATTATTAAAAAAGAAAAGTGAATGGTTAACTTTGAAGCAAAATGTCGTCAGATGACAACAAATTTATTTGTGTTAAAAAAAGAAACAGAAAAGATTGATATGAAACTTCTAAGACATTTTCTCCCAAACTAAGTCTAAAAAATATGGTTATCCAATGCACCCAAGGGTGTAGCCTATTGGTCAATGAAGTAGGTTGAGAACTATGATCTCAGGTTCAAACCTTAGGAAGGCAAAAATGCTAAATGATTCTCCCCATCTATTTAAGCCTTGGTGGACATAGTTACTCAGTACCTGTGTTGGTGTGAGGTAATAGGTATCTCAGGGAACTAGTCAAGAAGTTTGCAAGATGGCCGTGTATCCTGGCTATATCAAAAAAGGAGTATAACTCAACAACTTCCCGCACGTGCTATTCATCGCTAGAGTTCACATCATTATTTTAAAATTGAGATGTTAGTGAGATTAAGCTTGCCAACTGTTAACCCTGATATCCTGTTGAATTGTGTAAACTAATTCAGCTTAAAAATTGTAATGGCAGAGAGGGAACCCTTTTATTGATCTCATTATGTCTGTAGTATGCCCTCTTCCTCTGATGTGTAAGCACGATATTTTTCCTTTTACACCAAGCACATGGACATATTTCGTTGATGGACTGCAGGGAGACTGGAGTCTAGAAATTCTAAAGAATTTGGGCACATCCAATCCTTAACCGTACGGCAGTGGTTGGAGTAATACAAAATATTTATGAACCCTTTGCCTATTGAAAATATTTCTACTTTTACTTTGTAGAAAGGAGGATCCTTATACGATGCAATCTAGTTTTATGTTAGGAAAGGAATTGCAGATGTTTCAAAGGGAAGATGGATAGTGAACAACAGCTTAAGCACAACTGTTTATGGCTTTTAGCTTTTTTGTGCAATGAGTAATCTCCCGGATGTAAAGGATGAACATAGCAAGATAAATTTTTCATGTAATCTTTGCAACAACAGGGATCTCCTTATAATACTTGTACTGTTTTAGCACCATCTTAGCGCTAAGCTTTTCCTCTTTTTAATATACAACTTACTTTTCAACAAAAAAAATTAAAATGCTGCAATATAGCAAGGCCCATTAAATATATCCTTCAAAGTTATATGACAACCATAGACAAAAGAGGAGCTTAATGGTTAAGACCCTCCACTAACCAAAAGGTTGAGTTTCAAGTTACTTGGGTAACAAAGTGGGAAAAGATTACTGTTGGGCTCCTAGGTAGGGGGGTTGGGAAATTGAATTCTTTATATCAATGAAAAGTTATTTAGAACTATACTATAACAATAAAAATCAGTAACAGTTTTTCTTTCAATCATCATGTCTGTGTATATGCATTTGACTTGATCTTATTCTAGTCCGTCAAATTTTTGTTCTGATTGATTTCTCGGTTTTACATGGGCTTAGACATGGAGGATCTGAAGGTAATATTTCTCCATCAGTTGAGCAAGCAAATTACTTTTCGAAAGCATCAAATTCATTTATGTCTTGCCTCTGTAACTGTGATGTTCAGCCGGATGTTATTGTTGAAAAACATCCTTTCATTGGTGAACCTCTGGATACTACTCAGGTAGAATATAATGACGCTTCTGGCTGCATTAAAAACTTATTTGCTTGTAAGTTGAATGACAGGCAGAAAGTGTCTTTGGAAAACGTGGCTTCTTTGCAGGAAGTGATTTAATGTGGAATAGGATAAATAAACTGGAGTGTCACTATTCTCAATGGAGAGATGTTAAAAAGGTGACAGGAGCAGTTAGTCTGACATTTAAGGAACAAATAACAGGTGTCCTCAACATGGATATAATGAGGGGACAAAGTGCTGATGTCGGTATAAACAAACCCAGTTGTGATGTAGCTTTTCAAAATGTTGCTGATGCAAACAAACCCAGTTGTGATGTAGCTTTTGAAAATATTGAATATCTAAAGGAACCAGAAATATCCAATGTTTCTTCTGGAGGATCTGCACCTGTTGTTAGTGAGGCATCTGCGGTGATTCATGACAATGAGTTCACTACTGATGATCAAAAGACTGGCAAGTAATGTTGTTGATGAAGGATCAGGAATCAACAGATGCTTGTCATCTAGTGATGCCGAAGGCAGAGAACAAAGTGTGAGTTTCTTGGTTTTTCTTGTGAATTCAACCCAATGGATGCAGGACCATCCAAAGGGTTCGCTAATAATTCTTTTGATAGTCTGATTGATGAACTTCGACTAAAAAATCCCTTAAAATTGAACAAAATGCAGAACCATTCTAGCTTCAGCATTCAAGAAAAGAGCCACTTTATTCAGAAAGTGTCTGATTTCTCCAAAAAGGTGATTAGAAAAAGAACCAAATGGAAAAAGTTGGATACAAATCTTCCTACCGTCTACTCTGCTTGTGGCTATCCAGAGGACAATTGTGGTTCTGGTCTGCAACATCCATGCAATGTTGAAAAAGGTGCCCCCTATCTGAAAATGGCAGTGTAGAAAAATGTGTGTATTCCATAGAACCAAGTTTCAGAGAAAGGAGATTCAGAATGCGTTCATTGAATACTCTTTCTTGCACTGGTAAAGTTAATTGCCATGATGCAAAAGTTGTTGGTACTCAGTCAGATCTTTTAAAGGTTAGTGATGATGATACCTTTGTATCTTGTGAATTACCTAGAAGAAAGTGAATGAAACTGGACACTGCAACACCTGTTAGGTAGGCAGATGAGGGATATTATCTAGGTGTTGATGCTGCGGCTAACTGCAGTTTTATAGACACCTCTATGTTTCCTGAGATGCATGATAAGGCTTATAGAAGGGTTGTAAGACCTATAGTGGGGCAGAAATATGGAGTAATTTCTAATGTGAATCCATCAAAACCAGTCAAATTTGTTTCTCTAAGAAAAATTTGTGACTTATTGGAAAAGTATAGCTCTTCTGGAAACTCAACTGCTAAATTGACTTCTGTAAAATTCAGGAAGGCAAGTGCAAAAGAAAAACATCGACACATTAACAGGTCTCCATATCTCAAGAAAGTCAAATGTTGTAATGCCAATTGTGTTGTAACTACCAAAAAATCTAAAAGCCGTCTCTTGACATCTAGTCAATTGGATCCTTGCCAATCATTAGAGCAATCCAAAAGAGCACATTTCCATGGAGGTGAAGAAGGGGCTCGCTTATTCTACTCTCTAGAGAAGAGAAGTTATGATTAACTTATAGAAATTGGTAATATTGCAGATGATTCTCTGCCAACTCCACTAAAGCCATTGTCCTAGGAGTTTCACAAACAGGGCCTTAATGAGTTGACACTTGAAATAACCTGGTTCTCAAATCGCTCTAGGGACATTTCTAACAATAATATGGTTGCTACTGTAGGCATTCATCCAAGAGAAGGAGGTTCTACTTGTGGCCGAACAGAGGTTTGTTGTTTCGTAATAACAGTTTAGATATGCTTGACTCCTAAATAAAGATTTTCTAAGATTGTTCTACCTTCAGAGATACAAGGGCCGCAAAAAGGAAGGACTGCGGTATAATCTTCATCAGTATTCTGAGTCTGGCGGTGGAGGCCTTATTGCCCAGGAGCAATTAAATGCCTGGATTCACATAACTGGACAAAATACATCAAGAAAGGAGATTCTGAGGCTTCCACATAAAGATGTTGGATATGATTATCGGGTATGTCTTGAACAGTTGTGTTGCTTGACCATTATCAAACCTATAGTGTTCCTATTGAGAAGTCACGTGTATAACTTTTTTAATTCTTGTGCGCTTTGATTATAGTCTATGCTACTGATGTATTCTTACTTCTTTTTTACTCTTTATTTTTGCAGAAGGAATATGTTCACTATAAGCACTCCAAAGGGTGGAAGAGTTTGGTTGTGTATAAATCTGGCATTCATGCTCCTTGTGTTTACACGTCTAGGTTTATTTTACAAAGCGAAATGATCTCATCTGTCTCTATTCTCTTCCTCTGAATTTGTAAGTTTCTCATCACCAAATTTAACTTTATTTTCACTTTTTACCTTTAGGTTGTTGAATATGTGGGTGAGATAGTGGGGCTTCGGGTCGCTGACAAAAGAGAAAATGAGTTCCTGTCAGGAAAGAAATTGCAGTATAAGAGTGTTTGTTATTTCTTTAGGATTGATCAAGAGCATATAATCGATGCAACCCAAAAGGGAGGGATTGCTCGATTTGTGAACCATTCATGCCTGGTAGGTTTCTTCCATAGCAATTTTGTCCAGTTATTCCCCCTGCTCAATTATGTTGCTCTTTCGTATAACTATTTTGATGAAGTGCTTGCACTTTGACATTTTGTTTCTTTTGCCATTTCTGCTTTTGATGTAATTTATGTTTTTTAAAAGCGAGAAAAGATTGACGTCAGATTGATTGATCAAGTATGATGGACTCAGCTTTTCTTATTTTGCTAATTCATTTTACCTGCCAAACTGTGTTGCCAGAATCATTTCTGTGAGGAATGAGAAGAAGGTAGATAGATACATTCCACTCTACTTCTTTTCGCTTATATTTCATAGTTATATCTGTTTGAAACAAATTTTAAACATATGGAAAATAAACATACCATACAAATAAAATATGAAGAAACATGATTTTATTCATCAAGATTGGGAGTACAAATCTGTCCCTCCTTTGATTCTACTCTCTAAGATGATTTATCCATGATTCGAGGGCCGTTAGTGGCGTATTTCTCGAACTGGGATGATTTAGATTTGACCTCTCTATATGAATAATCCATCAATTTTTGGATTATTTGAGATCTTGATCTCTTTGTGGATATTTCGAGATTCCTTTTAAGGGAATTTAGTACCCTTTATATAGGCATAAACTAGGGTTTAGGGTTGAGTAGCCTCCAAGAATCCTTATCTGAGTTGAACAAAATTTGTAGAGTCCCAACTCGAATTGAACGCATCTTGTAGAGTCCTACAAAATTTCAATGTCTACAAATGCCCCCTGCTTCAACGCTTGACGAAGTGTAGATTTCTGAAACTCAAAGACGAGGCTTGAAGTACTCATGCTTCCACCTTTGCAGCTTCAGATTTTCAGATTTGATTTATGAGAGAAGAGATGAAGGGCAGATTTGGTCCCACTGGGTGTGCCAATTTGTTTGCAATAAATTTTAAACATATGGAAAATAAACAAACCATACAAATAAAATATGAAGAAACATGATTTTATTCATCAAGATTGTGAGTACAAATCTGTTCCTCCTTTGATTCTACTCTCTAAGATGATTTATCCATGATTCGAGGGCCGTTAGTGGCGTATTTCTCGAACTGGGATGATTTAGATTTGACCTCTCTATATGAATAATCCATTAATTTGTGGAGTATTCGAGATCTTGATCTCTTTGTGGATATTTAGAGATTCCTTTTAAGGGAATTTAGTACCCTTTATATAGGCATAAACTAGGGTTTAGGGTTGAGTAGCCTCCAAGAATCCTTATCTGAGTTGAACACAGTTTGTAGAGTCCCAACTCAAATTGAATGCATCTTGTAGAGTCCTACAAAATTACAATGTCTACAATCTCAATCAAAAAATGTAAATAATAGTGAGATAATGCAGGTAGTATTTTTCGCTAAGAGAGATAACTTTCCTGGAGAAGAGATTACATATGATTACAATTTTAACCATGAAGATGAAGGCGAAAAGATTCCCTGCTACTGTAATTCAAAGAATTTCCGGCTATATCTGAACTGACAGAGCTTGATACTTGTTCATTTGTTCATAATGTGGGAGCCAATTGAAGTATATGGATGTAATTGTTTGGCCTAATGTTCTCGTGTATAATCTTGTACATTCATATGTATGTAAATAAATAAGTGTTTTATATTTTTACGTTAACATCTACATCTGCACTTTATTCTCACCCAGTCCTTTGGTTTCTTGATTTAAGTTATAGCACCAAACAATTCTTACTTACAGCTCTGCTAATATATGCATATACATAGCAACAACAACACCTCAATTCAAAACAAGTTTTGATCGACTAGAAATAAATCTTAAACTGATATATAGACCATCCTCTCAAGGCAATCACATAAATTCTAACTAATTTCTTAACCAACAAGGAGATTTGCAAAGCACGAGAATTAATGTTAGCATAAAGATAGTTTCACTCAGACCTAAACAGAACAGAATGAATACTTTAACGATCCAAAAAAATTGAATAAATAGGTACTGAAGCTGATTTAATTATTAATTAACTATCTGAAACTTTAAGGGCATAATGGTCATTTCCCGTATTAATTAAAATAAATTAGATTTGTATTAATTTAATTTAAATTCTTTTTGACTTAGTCTTGAATTTAGTCTCCTAATCCTAATATCTCTCTCTCACGCTACTTAACCTTCTCTCTCACGTTCTCCATTTCTCTCACGTTATTCTGCCAAGCACAAAAGAAAAAACAGAGAATACATCAAGAGTTTCGTTGAGTGTTGTGGACGTTGAGGTAACTTGGACTGATTTTTTGAGAGAGTTTTGGGCAGTAATTTCTTCGTTTGAACATCAATAAAGGTATGGGTTTCTTCTCTCTTGGCTCCTTTCCCAAAAGGCCCTTTACGATTCAAACTATTCACCTCGAAACTAAGGTTGTTTCCCATTGCATGTCCCTGTCACTAGCTCCCTATGATCTTAGGTTGGGTATTCTTGTTAGTAGAATTTAGGGATACTTGCTTGTGGTGATGATCTCATTTCGAGTATGTATCCATGACTATGTGCTTAGATTTTGTGCCTTTTTGGAATATGAATGTAAATATGTATGTATTTGAGCAAGACTGTGATCATGACTTTGAGTTTCCCTTAAGCATGTTAATAGTATAGAGATTATTCGTGTTTTATGTGCAATTAGAGGCTCTTAAAAATCGTGATATTCACATGGTTGAAATGCTAGAAATTTTAGTTAACCAAATGACCAAATCATACCTTTAATTTGTCTAATGAATCCTAACGAACGACTAAGAAAGAGGTGCTCAAATATCCTGTGAAATGCTACATAAAAATGTGTAACAAAGTTCAAGAATCTGAAAATTTGCTACAGGTGAATGGAAATTTTGGGTGTCTAAAAATTAAAAAAATAGGTGAGGTCTGCAGAGATCGAACCCGGGACCTCACCAACGCATGCTTTAAAAAAATGTGTGTTAAGGGGGATTCAAAATGGAGTAGGGGGCCAGTGAAAATTCAAAAAAAAAAGAAAGGAAACGAGGCTAGGGGGAATCGAACCCATGGCCTTTATGCAAAAAAAAAGGGATGAACCCACGACCCCCGATTCGCGAAAAAAAAAAAGAAAAGGGGCAAGTGGCGGGGATCCAACCCACGACCCCCATTTCGCGAGGAAAAAAAAAGGGATGCGAGGGGTGGGGATCGAACCCACGACCTCAGCGCTGAAGGGGGGAGGGGCAAAAATATTAAGGAAATAAAGTGAGGATGTGGGGGTTCGAACCCACCACCTCACAGCCTCCTCCTCTTCAGCGAAAACTAAAAGAAAATAAAGGAGGTTGCGGGGGTTCGAACCCACAACTTCCCTATTGTAGCAAATTTAATTCTAAAACTCAAAGGGGTTGTTGGGGCTCGAACACCTAACCTTTCGGGTAATTAGTAGTAAAATTAAAGTAGAAAGTTTATCCCTTCATGTAAATATTGAGATTTAATTTAGAATTCTAATTAAGTAGAAAATCAATTCTTTCATGTAAATATTGAGATTTAAATTAGAATTCTAATTAAAATATAAAATTAATTCTTTCATGTAAATATTGAGATTTAATTTAGAATTCTAATTAAAATAGAAAATATACCATTTCATGTAAATTTTTAGATTTACTTAAGAATCCTAATTAAAATGGAAAATTTATTCTTTCATGTAAATGTTGAGATTTAATTTAGAATTCTAATTAAAAATAGAAAATTAATTCTTTCGTGTAAATAGTGAGATTTAATTTAGAGTTCTAATGTTATGAATATTAGAAACAAAATAAATGAAAAAAATATATATAAATGATATCCAAGTGATTCAAGAATTGGGTTCCAGTGCCCAAACATCCGTATTGATATATAAGTCATACGTAAGTAAAATAACCAAGAGCAATGCCATCTATTTAGATCAAAAATCAAGATCTTGGCATATATGCAAGATACATAAGTCTTGCAATACATAATCATATGAAAGTAAGAATCACTTAGCGAACTATGAATGAAGCCCCATGGCTGGTATGTATAGACACATAAGTCTAACATACGTTCAAAAATTAAGTGAACCTAAGATGTACGTAATGAAATAATGAACCTTAGGAGGGTGAAGTACAAGTGTAAGATATACTAAATGGCCAAGTGCATTGGCATATGATGAGATGAACTATGAAATGAACATTCACGTAATAATAGGTGAGTAGCTATGAAAAACAAAGGTGCTAATAATGAAGAATTTGGTGACAATCATGATGTGCGGCTAATGTATATGATAAGGAGAGCAATCTCAAATGAGCCTAAGTAAATGTTACCAATACGTACTCACCAATGAGAGTGTAAGATAATGAAGAGACCAGTTTCTATGAACACTCTAATGAAAACATTGAGTTTAAAACACTTAATACTAATGATGAGATGAGAAATCATCTATTGAGCTATGATGTCCCTCATACAGGAAACCAACTTTCATGACATATGAGTTGAATGTAATGGAACTGTATACTGAGCACCGATTGGCTAGCTATGAGCGGTGATGGCTTCTTTCAGGAAGGGCGGAGGTTCACGTAACTCTCATGAGATGAGACTGTCAGGCTTGCCGGGTATGGGTCTCTATACATATCCAGTCTTTGAACCTATATTGCCACTATAGGGATCTGGCGGGGTTAAATTCCCACATACCCTAACATGTTATTGAGTAATTTTGGCCAGTGATTCCACCTCTTTTTGGTGTGGGGGAGACAGGGATTTCATGATGCTGATATGATCTATGTCGGTTAAAGTTTAAAGTTCCCAATGAATGAATGAGGCCAGCCTCAAATGAATCATATAAAGAAATGAAATGATACCGAAGGTGTTAGGATAGGATAATCAAGAGGCGAGCTAGATTCAGGTAATGACATTAGGTTATTCCTGATCATTGCATAGCAAAGCCATTGAAAGTTTTAACTACATACTAGGTATAGCTGGTGTTCACACTGGTCTATGAATGAACTGAAATGAGGTATGTTTGAATGAATGAAGCAGTCTCTGTGTTTGCTAAAGAAGGCTCCCTTGAGCCCTCATTTTGGAAAGTCTTAAGGTCAAGTCCATGATAACAAGGTCTCATGGCATATAAATAAATAATATGAAAGAAGTTATGTGTCATATGTTATGTGCTATATGCAGATGTTATGTATTGTGTGCAGTTTGACAATTATAATGATGCACGTCACTCTCATGGCATTACTTCTTAATCTCAATTTGGAAAGTCTACTGACTTGA